TCAGCTGCTGGAAGGCCCATCTCTGCAGCAGGGCAGGGCCGACGCCTGCAGGTGGACGAAGTGCGGCGCCTGGACCCCTCTAAGAGCACAGGGAGCCCGGAGTGGAACGGAAGGTATGAGGGAGAAGACTTGGCTGGGCAGGGCCTTGAGAGCTGAGGAGGTAGATGTCCTCTATTCTCGAAAGTAGTAATAATTAGTGAAGGAAAGACAATCTGTTGAAGAGTTGGTAGAGACAGACAGACAGAAAATCAGTCCAACAGAGATGGGAGTGAACCTAGATGGAAGAAAACAGAGAAAGAGACTGGAGGAGAGAGGAGCAGAGGCCCTGACAGGCTGGTGGGGGGTTGGGGGTGGGGGGGATGCCAAGTGTGCAGACAAGGGGGAGGGAGCGAGAACGGCTTTCGGCTTTCGGGCTTCTGGAAGGAGGCAGCTTCAGAAGCTGCAGCCCGAGGCCGCCCTGAGCACTTCTAGCTCTGGTCTCCAGAGTCCGGGTGTGCAAAGACACACCACACAGGCTCAGCCCGACAAGCTGAAAGGCCTAGGATGTGCCTGGGGTCTCGCTCTTGACGTGACCTTCTGAAAGCCATTAGTTTGTAGATTAAGGCACTGAAGTAAAGGAACAAAAGCTCCCTCTTCATTTCTCTGCCAGCCTCCTCAGTCCAAGGCCCCCCAGCGCACCCTGTGCTGTTGATTCCAAACTGGTTCATTGAATTCCCTGCTAATCCTCTATAGATCCTTGAGACACATAAACTTCCAAGACCTGACATCCTGAATCACGGGTGATGACGCAGTGTTACCTATGACACAATTCTTCTCAGGTCATTGGGGGTATTCGTGGAAGGTAAGAACTTCCTTCACCTCCATGCCAGCTCCATGAAGGTCAACCCATTGTCTTGCTCATCACTGTCCTCTCAGCACCTGGACCAGCATGTGGCACATGGCAGGCGTTCAAAATATTTACTGAAAAATGAATGACTGCATGGCTAAATCTGCCAGTCCCCAACATTCCCAACATGGAGCTCAAATGTCTCCCATCAGGCCCTCCATGTCTCTCTCTTCTGATGCCCAAAATAAAACCCTGTGCCAAGTGGGCCCCAAATGCCCCAGTTCTGCCTGCCCATACCTGTCAGTCACTCATACTGTAACACCACCATTGGACAATAGTGGCTGCCAGCCAGCCTTGCAGAGCAACCATCCCAGACTCAGCCTCCTCATGTTCCTCCAGCTGGTTACCACTCCCCTCACCAAACACATACCTCAAGGGAGGTGTTCGACATTCAAAAGCATTGCTCATCAAGACCTCTCTCAGAGCCAAACCTTAGTTCAATCTGCAGGCATCTGCAACACCTGCCACCTTTAGGCTTCCTGTTGCTTCTGGACAGTTACCACAAATTTTGGCGAGGTATTTTCCAGGAAACCCTCCTTCAACCACCACAGCAATAAAACAACAAACACGGAGCAGCCTACCTTTAAGAGGAACATCTGGATAGAGGCAAGCTCAGTGTGGTCCATGATGCTCTTGGCGGTCCTTCTCCTCATCGTCCTTCTTGGTCTCTTGCTACTCCAGGGCCACTTCAACTCTAGGGGCCGCCTTCCTCCTGGACCCTGGCCTCTGCCCTTCCTGGGAAACATTTTGCAAATAAACCATAAGGGTTTGCTCAAGTCCTTCCAGACGGTGAGATGGGGTGGGGCATGGGGGTAAAAAGCAGAAAGTGGGGGGCTGGGAACCGGGTCTAAGGCAGAAAAAATGTTGAGACTTTGTAGGACAGCTCGGGGAGCGTCTTCTTCCAGGCCAGATCTGTCCCAATAGGCTAACTAGAGAAGTTTCTGGAATTCCTACGAGAAGGATTGGTGGGAATGTAGTTGATTGGAGTTCTGACAGACTTTGAACAGTTACCCTCCAGCAGTTGGGAGATACACGAGATGGTTTTCTGGGGTCTGTGGGAAATTTTTTTAGTTGACTATAATGAGTATATAAAATTATATTAGTATCAGGTATACCATGTAATGAGTAAATATTTGCATACATTATAAAATGTGCATAATTGTCTAGTTACCATCTTCCACTTTGCAATGCTACTTTCAAATTTGGAATATGTTATTATTGACTGTTGTCCCCAGGTTGCATGCTACATCGTCAGGACGTATTTCTTTTGCAACTGATAGTCTGTGACTTTTCATCCCCTTTAACCATTTTCCTGTCTCCCACTCTCAACTCTCTCCTCTCTGGCAACCACCAGTCTGCCCTTTGCATGAATTTTGACATTGCTGGGTCTGGTCATTTGTTTTGCCTTTTGGGTTCTATGTAGGCTTTAAGTTGTACAATACTAGTCTTTCTCTGTCTGACGTATTTCCCTTCATAATATACTCAGGGACCATATAAGCTATTGCAAATGGCAAGACTTCATTCACTTGCATGGCTCAGCAGTATTCCTGGGTGTGAAAATCTTCTTCACCCACTCCTTAACCACTGAGGGACACTGGAGCTGTTTCCATATCTTGCCTATTGTAAATAATGCTGCTGCAGTGAACATGAAGGTGCCTATGTCTTTTTGAAGTGACAGTTTTGTTTTTATATGTTGTTTTGAATAAATATCTAGGAGTGGACCGTCCTATCATATAATCACTACATTCTGAGTTGTTTTGAGGAATCTCCGTAATGATTTCCATAATGGTTGTACCAATTTCCATTCCCATTCACAGTGCACTAGTGTTTCCTTTTCTCTACACCCTGCCAACTCTGCTTATTTCCCATCAGGAGTTTTTAATGATAGCCATTCTGACAAGTGTGGGTTTGACTGGCATTTTCTTAATGATTATGGATGCTGAAAACTAGCTTTTCATGGTCTTCTACATACTGTCTTTGGAAAAGTGCTTATTCAGGTCCTCTGCCCACTTTCTGATCATACTGTTTTTCTGTTTTTGAGTTGTAAGAATTATTTATATATTTAGATATTAGCTTCTTATTTGATATATGATTTGCCTATATCTTATTCCAGCTAGTATGTTTCCTTTTCATTTTGTTGATAGATTCCTTCTCAGTGAAGAATTTTTTGTGCTTTATGTAGTCCCATTTGTTTATTTTACTTTTCCCACCCTGGCTTTGAGTGAGAGTATTAAAAAACCACTAATATCTATGTCAAGGAGTGCTGCCATTTTGTTGTGGCAGGAAACATGACGAGGGATACAACAATCATGGAGGTTTACAAGGTAAGACTCTGCTTATTGAAAGCATACAGCCTAGTGAAAGCCAATCATGGGACAATGTTATGAGGTCCAAGGGACAAGGGGGTGGGGCAAAGGTGTATAAGAAAAAGGAAAGTGGACATTGTGACGGTAAATTGAGACATTTGCATCAGCAAGGTATGTGCTGATGTTACCACCTACAGAGTTATTCTGAGACCACCATGATTTAGGCATATAACCAGGTCAGTGGTAGCCTAGGTGTTCCCAGACTGGCCTCATCACATGGACTATTGTCTGTAGGTAGTCAAGCAGTAATGCTCTGCTGTGATTTTCAGATCACAAATAGGTCACAGTTGCCCATGAGTGCCTAGTCTAGATCATAGGATCCCACAAAGGAGCTTATTGTCATCTAGGAGTTTTATGCTTTACATTTAAGTCTTTAGTCCATTTTGAGTTAATCAGTTAATCAGTGCATATGATTCAAGTTAATGTTACAGTTTCATTCTTTTGCTTTTGACTGTCATTTTTTCACAATACTGTTTACTGATGGGACTGTTCTTGCCTGGTGTACAGTCTTCCTTCCATTGTACCAAACACATGGACCATTTATGTGTGACTTGATTTTTGGACTCTATTCTCTTCCATGCATCAAAATCTTTGTATGCCAATACTAAATTGTTTTGATGACTGTTGTTTTCTAATATAGTTTTGAAACCAGGGTATGTTATACACTCAGTTTTATTTTTATTTACCAATTTTGCTCTGACTTTAGGAGCTTTTGTGATTTCACACAAATTCTAGTATTATTTACTTTACTTGTGTGGCAAAAATATTAGAATTTAGTAGACATTGATTTTTTTGTATTGCTTTTAGTAGTATGCATATGTAAACAATATGCATTCCTCCAATCCATAAACACAGAATATTTTTTCTGTTTCTTTATGTAATCTTCAATTTCTTTCAATACTGTCTCATATTTTTAGTGTACAGGTCTCTGACTTCTTTGAATAAGTTTATGCCTAGGTAGTTTATTCTTTTTGAGGTGATTGAAAATGAATTGGATTTCTTTTAATTATTAAATTTTGATTTCTGTTCATTCATTGTTAGTGTATAATAATGTAACTATTTGTGCAATGATTTTTCACTTAACAACTTTATTAGATTTATTACTTCTAACAATGTTTTTATAATCCTTAGAGGGTTCTACTTCTACATATAAAATTTATGTCATCTAAAAATAGTGATAATTTTTTCCTTTGTGTTTTGGATGTCTTCTTTTTTTTTCCCTTGTCCAATGGCTCTGGTGAGTTCCAATAGTATTTGAATAAAATGTGCATAGTAGGCTAGGTCTTGTTACAGATCTTAGAAAAAAGACTCAGCTTTTCACCATTGAGTGTTTTGCTAGCTGTGGGCTTCTCACATATAATCTCTATTATATTGACACCTACTGTCTCCACTTTATTGTGAGTTTTTTAATCATAAATCAGTGTTTAATTTTGTCAAGTGCTTTTTCCCAATTAATTGTGATCATATGAGTTTCATTTTACACTTTCCAATGTGATTTATTATGTTGGTTAATTTATGGATATTGCATTTTTGCCTCCCTGGAATAAATCCCACTTAATCATGGTATATTATATTTTGATGCACTGCTGAATTCAGCTTGCTAATACTTTGTTGAAGATTTTGACATCTATGTTCATCATGGACAGGCCTATAATTTTCTTTCCTGAGTGATAGCCTTCTCTGGTTTGAGCATTAGGATAATACCAATCTATAGAATGAATTTGCAAGTTTTCTTTCCCTCTAGAAGCTTAGAAGAGTTTGAGAACAACAGATATTAAAATTTCTTTGAAATTTTGGCAGACTCAATAGTTAGTTTTGATTACTATCTCATCTCCATACTAGTAATTGACTATTCAGATTTTTTTATTTTAAATTCAGTCTGTGTGCAATTCCTAATCTTAGAAAAGCCAGGAGAATCACTTACCTTCAGGTATATGCGAATAAAAAGTGCAATGAGATATCCCATATCCTGAGAATGACCTAGATCAAAAAGGTCAAAAAACAATGACCTCCAGTACTGGTGAGGGTGTTGAGGAAAAGCAGTCCTCAGACTCTTTTGGTGCAACTGTGGACAGTCCATCCTCTATGAAAGAGTCTATAGGTTTCTGAAAACATTGATAATGGATCAACCTTATGAGCCAGCAATTCTACTCCTAGGTATCTACCCAAAGAATACAAAAAGGAAACTAACTCAAAGGGATATATACACTTCTGTGTTTACTGCAGTACAATTTATAATAGCCAAGTGACAAAGTGCCCACAGATGAGCAGATAAAGAAGACTGATACGCACACTCTCTCACACACAGTGGAGTACTGCTCAGCTAGAAAAGAGATGAGCTCTTTCCATTTGCAATAACATGGGAACCTCCCTGGTGTCATAAGAGTTAAAGTCTCTGTGCTATCAAGCTATCCATAGCCATTGCAACATGCATGAGTTTGATCCCCAACAGGGAGGTGACCCACATGGCACAGCAGACCTCTCCTGTCTCATCCACTACTCTGCTCAATAATGTTTTCCAGTCGATTCACCTGTTCTGCCCTCCACTCTCTCTGGTGAATCCTCTTACGCCCTGTACCTCTGGCCTACACCCAGTTTTTGTATGCATAAACAAATAAATCTTTAAAAAATGATAACATGGATGGAAGTGGAGGGGATTATGCTAAGTAAAATAAGTGAGAAGGAAGGAAGACAAATGTCAGATGATTTCAATAGCAGGTGTAATATGAAAAGCTAAACAAAAGCTAAACTCTGACTCAGCATTGAGTCTACCACTAGGGTAGGTAACAAAGGGGAAGAAAACCCAATGGACAATGGTGGAGGGATGCTGGATTAAAGGGGTGGGGAGCTCTGGCGCTGGATGTGATGTGATGACACCTCTGCAGAGGTGTGAACCTCAGCCCCAGAATCAACAGGATTGGAAATCAACGACACCTCAATTAACAATCTTTTTCTTAAATATAAAGAAGGAGTCTTGGGGCAAATGTCTGTGTGGGAGACTTGGTCACAGAGTTCAACTCTCTCTTCTTCCTTAATGGAGCAGCAGCCAGTGGGGTTTAGGTTACACTGCAGTGTGATCCAGGTGTGAGCGGGGAGACCCTTCCCTTGAGTTCAAGAGTGAGATCTGGATCCTGCCCCCACAGCTTCGTGAGAAATACGGGGATGTCTTCACGGTCTACCTGGGTTCCAAGCCAGCTGTCATCCTGTGTGGGTATGAGGCAGTGCGGGAGGCCCTGGTGGATCAGGCTGAGGCTTTCTCTGGCCGAGGACCCATCGCCATCATTGATCCCATCCTCCAGGGAACTGGTGAGTTGGGGAGGGGGCAGGGCTAAGGGCTTGGGAGAGGATGAGGGACCATCCCATGCATCCTTCCAAACTTCCTCCATGTCTGGCCAACCAGGGGTGACTTTTGCCAATGGAGAGTCCTGGAAGGCACTGCGACGATTCTCTCTAGCGACCATGAGGGACTTTGGCATGGGGAAGCGGAGCATTGAGGAAAGAATCAAGGAGGAGGCTCAGTGTCTGGTGGAGGAGCTGCGGAAGTCCCAGGGTGAGCCCAGGGTCAAGACTGGGGGCAGCAGACGGGTAGGGGGTCAGTAAGGTGGGGATAGGGAGAAGGAACATGACTGATGGAAAGGAGTGAGGACAGAAACAGAAGCAGGGACAGGATGAGAGAGGAGGGAGTAGGAGATGCAGACAGAATAGAGAAAGATTTACACATAAGCAGACACTTTTCAAGAAAGAAAAAGGCAAAGACAAGAACAGGACCAGGGAGATACAAAAACTCAATGAGGCCAAGGATAGGGGCCCAAAGACAGATGTGGGCATGCAAATGTCGAGCAAGGACAAGGCGATGAGTCTCACAGACAGAATCCAGAACAGGATCCTCTCTGGTGTTGCAACTGGTTAGAGCACAGCACTGCAAGCTAGCTGCAAGCCGCTTCAGTGCAGGTTCCATCCCCGGCCCCAGAGGTGGCCCACATGGCAAGGGAGACCTCTCCTGTCTCACCTGCTGCTCCCCGCAGCAGTGTACTTTGTCAGTCTGCCTATTCAGCTCCCCACTCTGTCGCTGGTGAATCCTCTCACCACCCCTGCATCTCCGGCCTTTACCCCAGCTCTGTATGCACAAATCAGTCTTTTTTAAAAAAGAAAGAATCCAGACCAAGACTAGAGGAAGACATGAGTGCATGGAGAAATTCAGACTCAGAAGCAGACCTAGAAAACAAGTAAGAGATACAGAAGTGGGGCTACCCAGAAAGATAAACTGAGAACCGACAGCCCGTGCAAACAGATGGCCCACAAGACAGAAAATGAAACCAATCAGATAATCTAAGATTTCACCAGCCAGAGCAATGGACATCCAGAGGACCCCCTCCATGACAGACCTCTCACCCTCAGGGGCCTATCTGGATCCCACCTTCCTCTTTCACTCCATCACGGCCAACGTCATCTGCTCCATCATCTTTGATGAGCGTTTCAGTTACCAGGACCCCAGATTCTTAAGGCTGCTGCATTTACTGAGTGACATCTTCACCATCGTTAGCTCTTTCTACAGTCAGGTGAGTCTGTGGATGTGAGCCAGGATGGGGGTATGCCCCCGGGAGGGGGTCAGGTGCTTTCTGTTCTGACCAGAAAAGCAAGACCCAAGCAAGTAGTCACTTTTCTTGCTACACACATCACCCCCTCATCTTCCCATATGAGATACTGAGTCAGACTGGGGGTCAGTCACTTCCTAAAGGGTGAACAGTGAGAGGAGAAACCTCAGCCGATGAAAGAGTGCAGCTATTCAGTCTGTCTGCCTGCCTGCCTGCCTGCCTGTCTGTCTGAGAGGCACAATCCTAAAATTCCTTCTTGACTCATGACCTTCAGAAGTTGCTGTGCTGTGATGGAGGGACACCGGCTCCTCAGTACCAACCAGAGACTAGAACAGTTTCTGGATTCTCCCCTGCTCCCCTGTAGGTGTATGAACTCCTCTCTGGTGTCTTGAAATACTTCCCTGGGCCCCACACTCACCTGAACAATAAAATTCAAGAAATTAATAGTTTTATCAACGAGAATATTGAGAGGCACAAGAGAACCCTGGACCCCAGCAACCCCAAGGACTTCATCGATTCCTACCTGCTCCGCATGGAAAAGGTAAGGTAGGGCCATTCACCTTTGTGTGGGCGTAAGAGTGATGGCCACTCCAGACAATGAGGGAATATGATTGGGTAGAATACAGGTGCTGCTTAAATACTGAAATACTTCCCCATGTTGCTAAGGGAGCCCCTGGCTCAACACTCGGTGCCCCTCCATTCCTTACCCGTTGCCCCCAGCCCCTCCCCTGGAATGGCTGTAAAGAGGCAGCAACTAAAGAATTCAGATCCTGCCCAGGATCTGCGCTCCTAAACGTTACTCCTCTCTCCCCTCCAACTGGTGCAGCCCTTGTCTTTTCTGACTGGTCAGAGGCTCATCCCTGCCTGATGGGCTGGATGCCGTGTCTGTTCTAATGGTTTGCTGCACATATTCATTCTGATTGGTCCCTACGTGTCATGCAGGTTGTTAAATATCTTTGGTAGCCCTATTGGGTAGGAAGCTGAGAGATCCAACAAGGGGTGCAGATCTACCCAAGGGTAGAGTAGATATAAATCTACAACGTCCATCGATACGTTAAGCACATAACACCAAAACAAGTCTACACGATGAGCCAGGTCAAGGTCCTTGCCTAAGACCTGAGCGAATACACAACAGGACGTGGCTCATTTTTGTGTTGGCTTTGAAGACACCAAAAGGAAAGATGGAAAAAGAAAAACTGAGAGGAGGGTGGGTAGGGAAGAAAAGAAGACCCAGACACTGGGACTCTTTGAAGAGGAGGCATTCAGGATGTGCTTCTTCATCCCAGGAGCGCTCAGACCCCGACAGCAAGTTTGACCATAAGAATCTCGTGCACACTGTGCTCACGCTGTTTTTTGGAGGCACTGAGACATCCAGCACCACCCTCCGCTATGGGCTGCTCATCCTTGTGAAGCACCCAGACGTCATAGGTGAGCGAGTTCCAGGTGGGGCTGGGAGGGTTGAGTGTCTCTGCATCCCCCACAGCTTGAGTGATGGGTGAGCCTGAAAAGAACACTTCACCCCATGGGGAGTTGTATCGGATAATGAAGCTTAGATGCAGACAAAGCACTTCATCTTGAAAAGCAACTAGACAGTTTACAAAGTCTTTTTCATTCACGGATGTTCCCATGGTTTAGAACAGCACATTTGTACTTATGAAGTGCTTTGTAATTGGCATAACACTTGGGCAACAGTAAGGTGCTTACTGGTTTACAAGCGTGTGGTCCAGTCACAAAGGATTACCTTTGCAAATGCCCCGCTGCAAAGAAAGAAGCGCATGGCTCCTGACAAGCCCTGCCGTTTTGCAATGAATTGGACGATTTGGAGTGTTTTGCCCACTTGCCACCCATTAAGAAGACCCGCAGTTGATGTGCGCTGAAGATCAGCCTTGGAGAAAATCTCCTCTAATTAAACTCCCTTATTTTAAGACCCAGAGTGGGCAAGTGACCCAAGTATGCAAGATCACAAAGGAATTTAGGGGGACAAAAGGATGCACACCAGTTCGTTTTATTTTTAGTTAAAAATTTGTAAAAAGTGGCTTTAAGTAGTGAATGGATTTCCACCCACCCATCAGTTGTCCCCTCTCACAGCCAGACAGAAACGTCAGACAACACAAGTTCACAAGACCTTGTCCTCTAGTCTGCAGGGCACTTCTGGGGAGACTGGGCTGAGCCGTGTGCTGGGCACTCACTGATGTCCCCCGCCCCTGCTTACTAGAGAAGGTCCAGGTGGAGATTGACAGAGTGATCGGCCCCCACCGCCTCCCCGCCCTTGAGGATCGCGCCAAAATGCCTTACACAGATGCTGTCATCCGTGAGATCCAGAGGTTCAGTGACCTCACCCCCCTGAGCGTCCCCCACTGTGTCACAAAGGACACTAACTTCCGGGGCTATCATCTCCCGAAGGTGAGACCGCAGGGCCACTGAACCTTGTTGGGGGGCGCTGTTGGCTGTATTAAGGCTCAAGGAGAACATTCACTTGCAGCCTCTGTGGGAGGGAGGGATTTTAGAAAGAGAGAAAAGTCCTCTTCTCTCTGTTTTACTCTTTTTAACCTTAATTAGATGTTAGATGTGCTGAAAAAACTTAATGAAACTTGTTTCAATACTTACTGAAACTGTTAGCAATAGAGATGTCTTTTAGTAAAAAAAAAGTGCTTTCATCGTCTCCTCTCCCCTCCCCTTTCATGAGAGGACAGCAAGAACTCGTTTTGGTTCTCTTTCTGCATTTTAAGTTCTGTAGGTATAACCACATACAGACACAGGCGCAAGAGCTCTCCATCACCTAACTCCGCCCACTGTATCACCTCTCCTTCCCCTCATGCCCATAGCACTGCTTTTTGGAAAACTGCATGCACGCATGCATTCATTTCATATAATAAAATAAGAGCATGCTGTAGGTATATTTTGTATTTCCCTCCTATGGTTCCATGTTTGCATATGTTCTTGTGTTAGACATACCTGGGGTGATGTTCACAGTATATAATTCCCCAGAGGGCAGGCCCAAGCCATCAGATTGGATTCTGCTCTTTGTGCTAGGTTTGCACCCTTGGAGGCCTCTCCAGAATCAGGTATAAAACTCTGGAGAGGCGCAGTAATCCAAGGGGCACACCTGCGTGGTTAGGAGCACAACTATTAGCAAAATGGGACAAAATTGTTTCAATGTTTAAGCCACCCACTGAAGAGCCACAGAGTAGGTGAGGCTCATAATCAGTGTCCCATAGTTGATTCCATGACTCCTAGCTGATGATCATCATTTAATTCCCTTTGGCTTTGACACCCTCTTAGGACACTGCCGTGTATACAGTCATGAGCTCTGTCCTCCATGACCCACACCACTTTGAGAAGCCAGACACCTTCTACCCTGGCCACTTCCTGGATGCCGAGGGCAATCTCCGGAAGCCAGAAGCCTTCATCCCCTTCTCCATGGGTAAGCTGGGCCCGTCCCCCGATGTGAGCATCTGCTCACCCTTTTCTGAGTTGTGACTTGCTCCCTTTGTTCAGCTCCATGAACATTCTTGAAAATGATGAAGATTATAAAGGAAAGAAAAAGGCAGACATCTGCAGAGACAATAATGTGAGGGGGATGAAAGAGTAGAGGCTGATGAGGAAGAAAGGTGGAGACTAAGTTGATGATGGTGATAAAATAAAGATGTACACACATACACATGGACAAATCAATGATCCTGCTGTGTGCCAAGATTTTCTTTCCAAACATAAATGATTTTTTGAACCTTTATACAAACATGAAAGTAGTAAGTTTCTAAGTGAAAATCACCTTTAATTCATGATGAAAAATAGACTTAATATTAGAGGATGTCTTTCCAAATTTGTATTAAATATAGACCCATACAAAGTTAAGTGTTGGCTAACTAGCTATACAGATGATATTGATAGAAATAGGTAAGTAGAAAATAGAAGGTAAGAAGGAAGAAAGGGAACAGAAGGGAAGTAATGAAGGGTGATTTATTTATTGATTCATTGTTATTGATTCATTGCTAAAACACAAGCTCTGGAGTGGTAAGATCTAGACACTCATTGTATAATTTTAGGAACATTTGTATGAGTGCCTGATTCTACTCATCAACTTTTAGATTCTGACTTGAAATTTATCATATGACAAACTTTTAAATCTCCTTAGACCTACTGATGGTTTATTTATATTGATCCATATCCACCAATCTGTCTTTTCCTATTCTAGCAATGCCATATTGTTTGAATTATCATATCTGTGTAATACGTTTTAATACATTACATAAGTTTGTCTTCCATTACTCTTCTTTTTCAGAGTCCTATGGTTTTTCTAACATATTTTCCACTTCCAGAAGTATTTCACAGTCATTTTATTGATATCAAAGTATCATCCTAGTGTGATTTTTTTAGGATTAATTTAAATTTGTACATTTATTTGTATAGCTTTGGTAGGCTTACAAATTTGAGATATCCTAGACAAAAGATCATGGAGTCAAGTCTTCACCACTTGGTGGCGTCTTGCACTTGAATTTTTAAACTAGGTTTTGCATATTTCTTATTAACTTATTCCTAAGAAACACGAGAGGAGATTGTTGTTATTGTTCATGGAACTTCTTTCATAATACCACAGATAAGGTGGCAACAAAAATAATTTCCCAGAGTTCTGGAGGTTGAAAGCCTAAGGTCAGGGTGCAGCATGGGTCGATCCTCAGGAGGCCTCTCTTCCTGGCTTGCAGACAGCCCCCTACTTACTCTGTCCTCACATGGCAGAGTTAGCTGCTGACCTTGGGCAGATTAAGGGCACCAGGCTAGGGACCAGGTTGGTCAGACCAGTGGGGCCCCTGAGAAGCTGAGATAAGGTGGTGTTTTCACAGCCAGTACAGGAACTGGTGGCTGCAGGGTGCAGGTGGGTCCAGAATACGCATGGAGGTCTCCACTCCCCTCCACCTCTCAGTTCCCACTTTGGATCTTTGTACCCAAGACATGGGAGCAGGAAATGTGTTGAGTTTCACACTTTTTCACAAACAGCTTAACAGAGACACTCAGAGAAAGATAAAGAATGCCAAGCTAGGGACAGAGAGACAGAAGATGGCAAGGTAACAGGCGAGAAGAAGAGAGTCCACCCACCTCCCACCCCACCCCCAGCACTCTCCTCCCACCCTACTTCCAACCTTCTCACATACTCATATAGTTGTTGGCACTGAGAACAAGAATTGACGCAGAAGCACTCCTATGTAAATCCATGCAAGTATGCATGCAAATAACCCAGGCAGGGGGCGGGGTTTCCTGGGATCCCCACAATGACACCCAGCCTTGTGCCCTCAGGAAAACGCCTCTGTCTGGGTGAGAGCTTGGCCCGCACAGAGCTCTTCCTCTTCTTGACCACGATTCTCCAGAACTTCTCCCTGAGATCTCCCCAGGCCCCAGAAGAGATCGACCTCACACCAAAGGAGTGTGGACTGGGGAAACTGCCCCCTGCCTTCCAGCTCTGCTTCCTGCCCCGCCAGGTAGGGGGTGCAGTGAGGCCCGGGAAAGCCTCCTGAGTCCTCCCTCTCACCCCTGTGGAAAGTTCCATCTGTGGTCACCCCTTCCTCCTGCCTGCTGTAGCCGCCATCCTTGTGTAACTTAGTGTTACCTGTCACACAGTTAGGGAAACTGAGGCCAGAGGAAGGAAAGGTTTAGACCCAGAGGTGGCGAGGACAGCAGCAGCAGGACCTGCCTCTGTCTCCTCCCCGGCCACACACACAGCCACACCTTTCTTGAGCTGAAATGGCTTATTCATTCCTTCACTTGTGCTGTTTGACTCCCTTATTTTGATTTTACCCCTCATAAATAAGGGGTAACTCCTGAAATAAAAATAAAGCCTATTTTTCTCTTTTTGCACTAAATGGCTATCTGTGTTACCTTCTGCATGTGTTTCGTTTTGTTTTGTGTTTTGAAGGAAAATCACACAACACAGAAGTAGCCATTGAGCATTTAAGGTTCACCAGCCCCTGGCCGTTGTGCAGCCTTCACAGCTACCCAGTCCCCGGCACTGCCATCTCCCTAAAAGGAACCCCCTGCCCCTTCAGGAGGTCAGTCCCACTCGTCCTCCCCCCAGCCCCTGCCTCTGCCTCTGTCCCCAGAAACTGACCTTCTGCATATGTCATATCAAAGGAACCTTCTTTCATTTAACACAGTTTTCAAGGTGCTCCCCATTCTACCGTGTGCACACTTGATTCCTTTCTATGGCTGAACAATGTGGCTGGGTGGAGAAAGCCACTTGCTCACCCTCAGCAGCTCATTGCCAGGGGTTCTTCCCGCCTTTGGCTACCAGCACAGCGCCTGAGGCTTTTGTGTGCAGGAGGCTCTGTCTCTTGGCCTCCTGATGGAGGTAGTGGAGAAGGGAGGGGCTCCTTGGTACTGCTTCAATCTTTAGCCTTTGTTTTTCTTTCGCTCCCATAAAAAATACCTTATCATTTGCATTATGTAAAATTAGCTCTGGGATCACCTACATGACTAACTTCAAAAATTAGACAAAACTGTTATCGATCTGGCCTAATAATGAAGACTAAAACCAATTACCCTAATTACCTAAATTGTAAAATGTCTTAAAAGTCTGTTCAACCAGGATCCATGAGTATTTACAGTTGCATACTAAACCATTCCATCGTCAAGCCCTGGTTTATGGTGTTGTTCAGCCCGACGTAGCCAGATAGGTCACTGGCCCACGTCCCTCAGGACTGAGGAATGTGCAGAACTCAAAGGGGGATTCTAACTGAGGCAAAATGGTTCATTTGCTCTCAGACCCTCAGTGCGCACACACACACACACACACATAAGTGGTGGTGGTGGGGGCAGTTTCTAAACTTTCTCTGCAACTTGCTTTTGTAAACAGAATAGAGCCTGGAGATTTATGGACTAACTTTGACCTGACCTCCTAAGCCAACTGTGATACAGGGCAGCAGAGGCACTAAACTAGGCTAAGGACAGCCCAAGGAGTTTACCTGTCACTGTCTGAGTTCTTTGCCAGCATGCACAATTGCAAGATTGCCCAGGCTTAGGGAACTACAAAGAGATTTATTTAACAAATCAGGGCAAAACAAAGGATTACTGAGGCCAATAATGGCCATTTACTTTACCAAAGCTGTGTCCAGTATTACTCAGTCCTGCACAAAGGCATTTCAAATGGCATCTTCCCGCCATTAAGGCCACAGAGCTCCTCTCTGGAACAACAGGCCACGCCACTAACATGGCATCTTCCTGCCTTCCAAACTGTTCCAAAACAGCTGCTGGAATGAGGCCTGTGTGATGGCCCCACTACTGGGCCACCATGGCGCCGCCCACCACGGCTGGTGGGACAAGGCGCTGCTGTGCGGCCTTCTGCAGTCCTTTTAGTACTTATCAGTCACCAACCCCCCCCCACCCCACTTTAGCATTTTCCTGTACTTACCAGCAATACCCTCCAGGGGGCACCACCCCTAGCAGTTTACGGCTTCAGCCATGTGTTGCCACCGATTACATTTGGAGCTGGGAAACGTGCACAAGAGGGGGCTACCCAGAGGCAAGGCCCCCAAAATTTCAAAACTCAATTATGAATAAAACCTTGTCATACTTCTCTCTACATAAGCTGTCCTGTAGTCAGCCAATAAACTTCAGCCAAGTTCACTTTTCTTTGCATTGATCCTGCTCATTTGCCAATAAAATTTAACTCCTGGGCCCTCCCTGGTGGCGCAGCGGGTTAAAGCACAGCACTGAGAAGCTAAAGCCACTTCAGCATGAGTTTGATCCCCGCGGCAGACCTCTCCTGGCCTGCCTGCTGCTTCCCTCAGCAGTGGACTTCGTCCATCTGCCTGTTCTGCCCCCCACTCTGTCTCTAGTGAATCCTCTCACCGCCCCTGCATCTCTGGCCTGTACCCCAGATCTGTATGCATAAATACATAAATCTTTAAAAGAAATTTTAACTCCTTTGTTCTCAATCCCAATACCCCCAAATCTATATAATCACCTTCCATCCTAATCAGGAATATAGATTCCTAGCTGCTTGCTAGTCAGTTTGCAATACAGGTTTTTTCCTTTTCTCAAAATCCTGGTGTCATATTAATCCATTCTATACGCATGTCAGGCAATGATACCCATCAATCAGAATACATGGTTTCTCCCTTTATGTGATGATGTACGTTATTAAATTTCCTAATACTGAAACATCTCCTTTTCATATCTGGAGAACAAGACCTCTCCAAAATTGCATAATACATGTGTCTGAGCTTCTAGGTCCTTTCCTTTCCTATGGGATGGCAGCGAGAACTTGTCAGCTGCACTTGTACGCAGGGAAGTAGGTACAAGCTTAATCACGAAGAGCAAGGCAATACTCCTGTGATCTGTTTATCCAGCCCACAGGACTTTTAGACTGCCAAGCAGAGCCCTGAACCAATCATCTGAAGAAATTCCACAATGATGTTGAGAAAGACAGAAGGAGACAAAATCAGAAATAGGGAGGGAGGGGGAAGAGAAACAGGGTGATTTAAAGTACCGTGGAGAGAGCTCCAGGCAAAGAACATAAATAAAGAGTGGTGGAGAGAGGAATGTGGAGGGAATGAGACACACCGGGAAGGCGTGTGGGAGAGAAGGAGAAAGAACACAGGGGTACAGTGGTGGAGGAGAAAGCAGGAGACAGGGGAGAGCAGAGGGGAGGGAGCAGTGAGAGCCTCCAACAAAGCCAGGAGTCTCAGGTCCTGCGGGTATGGGGACAGCAAGTTGGGTGGCCCCCACCCAGGGAGAGTCCTGTCAGTCTGGAGGCCAAAACCTGGTGGCCATCAGCACCCTAAGTGGCCCTGCAGTTACCACCCCTCTCCTGCAGGGCGCGAACAACACCCCCCCCCAGCCTCCGGGACTCCTGCTGTGAGCTCTGGGCAGTGCGCACAGTCATCTGGCCAGAGCTGGTGGCCTTGCCCACCGTGCATCAGCTCTCCTCCTGCCAGAGCCAGATCTGTGTTTGGGTGGGGAAGTTTTGGCCAAGGTTGGTGCTTGTTTTGTTTCTAAAGGAAACAATTTCAGCAACAGGAGCCAGAACTGAAATTATGAAATCTGAGGTCAGGCCAGGTCAGGAATAGGGGAGGTTAGGGTGGGGGGCTGAGGGGCAGGACAGGAGGGAAATGGGAGAAGTGGAAAGAGGGGCAGGGGAGGAGAGCAACCGCCGGCCCTCACCCACCCTGTCCACCTCTCCTACCCCAGCTCAGCTTTGCACCTCTCGCCCAGGGCCCGGGAGACCATCTTGTCATCACTGGCCCTTTGGTGTTCCTTGGGCAGCTCTCCAGAGGTCCCCACTCAGCAAGTCACCTGTGCATGGGGTTCAGGAGGAGCGCCAACCCTGTCCAGAACAGTGACCGTGCAGGGGGGCAGGGTGGAGATGGGGGGCCCAGGCCCAGGGGCCAGAATGGAGATGGGGGCCCAGAGCTGGGGTGGGGAGCCCAGGCAGAAGGGTTAGGACCGAGATGGGGACCACAGTTGTCCCGTGAGCTTGCTGCCATCCCAGTTCCCTCCTGCCCCCCTACCTCTACCACCCACTTTCCTTGTAAGCATCTACCGAGCTGGGGAAATTCTACTCACCTCCCCAACGTGCCTCCCTCGGCCCTGAAATGTGAGTGCAGTGGGAGACTGGGGTGTGTGTCCACAAGGGGTATCAGCAGAAGTCAAGGCTGACAGGGAGACAGGGTGGCCTGCTTGAGTACATGGGGTTCCCCCACCAGGAAGCACTACCTGGGGGATGAGGGGGCAGTTGGGACTGTCCAGGTCTCTTCTGTGCCCCCTGCCCATGGCATTTCTCATCAAATCCAAGCAAGGACCCCCCCACCCCCACCCTAAGGGTCTCTAGGCTGGCAATCTTTACTCTGATAATTTGCCCCAATTTAGGATTTGGTTCTCAACCCTAATTCTGCACAGATTATTCTGTTTGCATCCAGTGATCACAGGCCAATTGCATTTACTCTGCTTTGTTATCTTCTGTCTTCTCTGGCACGAGGCCTTGCTGGCTAGGGAGACACCCCTCCCGGCCAGCTGACTCCACCCACCCGGGCCAGCTGTCCTAGCAATGTAAACAACTTGTGTGTGAACCCTTCACATCCAAGTCAATCAACCCCCACCGCCCCCTTCCTCTAAAGCTCCCACGCCAGTCTTCCCTGCTCTCTCTCCCTTCGTCTGTTCAAGGCTTTCAGCGTGTTTCAGCATTGCAGCCCACACCCCAGGGCCAGGGATGGAATCACAGGGGGTAGTCTCTGAGCCCCAAAGCCCACCAGATTATTCTGATGAGTCAACCCCATGCTGGTCACCTGCCTGCCATGCCCTTGGTGACCCTCAGGAAAGGCTGAGGCCTGCAGTACTTTCACTCACAGGGGCTTTCACCCCACCAGGGCCCTTCATGCCACGCCTCTCATTCCTGAGGTACTCTAAGGTTCTCTTCCAACGACCAGGCCTCACCTCCGTAAATTATAACCCTGGCCCTGAGTGGTCCCTGGTGCCAGGGCTGGGGTGGAGGCCCAGGGCCTGGCAGGCCAAGGGGAGACAA